AACTGAAGCCTTCAGTCTTGTTCTCATACATGTCCAGAATCTAGCATGGTGTTTTATACATAGATAGCAGTTAATAATTATTTATTGACGAAGTTAATCCCAACTATGGTTTATTCAGAGTGGTCAGATCTAAGGAATGAGTAGAAACTTGTCCGTTTGCTAATGTTTGGGTTTAAAAAGGAGAGACTTGAAGATTGAGAAGGGAAGTAAAGAGGAGAAACTCTTTAAAAAACTTTGCCTGGGCTCCCTTTGGAGGCAAAATGTGTCTGGGCCTCTGCACAGGTTTTGCACATGTTGGGGTAGACAGTGGGAGCTGCTGTGCTGTTGCAGAGCCTGTATCAGAGAGTCTTAATGAGCTTGGCCCTGATCCTGAGTTGTTGCAAGCAGAACTGAAGCTGAATGTTGTGTCTGGGGAAGAAGGTTGCAGAGAGTTGGTGGGTGAGGCGCAAGGTTGTATTCTTAAGGATGCTCCTCTAGACTATTCATAAAGGTTAACAAAGCAATTTGTCTCTTAGGAATTCACACTGACCTTGTGTGTCCTTGTGTCCCCAATCAGACCCGACCCTACTGGAACCCCAGGACTGATGATTATTTTGGGAGTTCCCCTAAGCCTTAGAAACCATCAATTGTTGTTGAGCCAATGATTTAATAAATAATATTTTAACAGGGTGTTGCGTGATTTATATGTCCTTAAGGGTCCATGTTCCTGTCTTAAGACGGCAGGTGCACATACCTCCCAGGATCACATTCACCTGTCAGAAGGGGCCAGGGTGTCTGCAAGAGTTAATGAGAAGATCCTGGCATCCCATCGCCAGGGCCTGTGTAGTAGAGCTTCTTTCCAGAGATGGGGTGATAATGAAAGTTGCCCTGAGAACAGTGCCACTCAGAGGTCAAAATGAAACCGGTTCCCTCAACTCTAGAATGTTCGTTTCCAGGAAGCGGATTGGAAGGTGTCTTCCCGACAGACACTGCCAGGTCTGGCGTTTCTTAACTGTGGCAGTATTTAGCTTCCTGCTTTTAATTGCGATCCTCTGCTTTTTCTCTGGGCCCTCAGAGATAAACAATCCAGAAACCACCTTAGCCTGGTAGGGGCCTCAGGAGCTCACATCTTGCCTCTTTGGCTCCTTGGCTCAGCTGCTGCAGCAGGCTCACGCTAATCAGAATCACAGCAGGCCTTGTTTTATGAGCCTGAAAGAATGAATGTTCCCCGAGGGCTGAGGTTCCTACCTGCTGGGGAGCTACAGATTTGTAGTTTGAAACCTGCCCTCCTTGAGGTTGAAGTTCCCTTCCCTTCCCCTTCTCAGGGGAAAACAACCTCCTCCTCTTCCTTGCATTCTGCAGTGACTGACGATGTTGATTTCTTTTTTCCTTCCTTCCTTCCTTTTTTTTTTTTTTAAGATTATGATGATAGTAGATATTTGTAATTTGTGTGCTTGTGGAAATAGGATGTGTTCGCATGAAATTGTAACCTGTCCCAGTTAGACTAGGAAGAGAGTGAAAAATAGCAGGTGGTACCCCAGAAACGAAATTGTCTGACGTGCGTTTTGCAAGCAATGTCATATGCTCAGACTTGCTGAAGCACCTGGTGTGTGGAAGCAGCAGGATGCATGAATATAGATGGGAATGGATTTCCACCGCCGGCACAGTGCAGTGCAGTAGGCAGTCACAAGGTGAGATGTGTAACGTGAATAATAATAAAGATTTGTCTGTTATTACCAAACAACTTAGCAGGCTGGCAGTGAACAGTGGCATTTGCTTCTGTATGGCGCTAATGCACCTCAGAGTGGCACCTAGCACACTGTCTCTTGTATCAGACCAAGGGCAGCCCATGGAAGAACCTAACACAAAGGTTTTGCTGGGGAAGACAGGATCGTGTGTGAATTACTCCACCTTGCTGATTTTTTTTTTGTTTGTTTTTTTGCCATATTGTTAGAGTTGTTCACTTTCAAAGTAGCCTTTTGGAGTTAGCAGGGCAAAGAGTCCTGGCAATCCCCATTTACAGAGGAGATGAAGACAGGAGATAGGTATGCTTAGAGTTGCCAGTGGTAATGGGTTCAGCAGCACAGAGACCTGGGGCTACTTGATTCCTTGTGCGGGGCTCTTCCGCCTCTCCTCTTCAGCCCTCTTCAGCCATGCCCTGTCTCTCTCTAATTTAATGGAGAGCAGTTGGCAGGGACTCCTTTGGGGACAGCAGTATGAAAGGCAGAGTGAAAGCCAGGCAGAGTATGGGGGAAACAGCCTTGAAGTGGGAATCCAGAAGGGCTAGTAATTCTGTTAGCACATGGTGCTAAGGATGCTAATGATTTTGTGACTTTGGGTAAGCCACCTGGACTCTGGATCTTTTCTTTCTGTATTCAAAAATGTTATTTTGAATTGACAGACAGATAATAAGTGTGTATACTTAGGGGATTCGATGTGATGTTTTGGCATGCTTACACTGCAGCATTATTAAATCAGGTTGATTTGAGTCATGTGTCACTACTTGGGACACCTATGGGTGTCACCTATTTTAGGGTTCCTGGTTTGAGTCCTAGCTACTATGCTTTCAGTGGTGATGAATGGCTGTCACCCATGAGGGATACCCAGATGGAGTATTTGCTTGGTGGTTTCAGCCTGGCTTAGCTGTGCCTGGTATAGGCTTTTGGGAAGTGAATCAATGCATGGAAGATGAATCTTTCCTCTGCCTAATGAAAACAAATAAACGGAATTTAAGATTAGATTTAAAAAAATCTGTTGTCTTTCATGCGTGTGTGTAGATGTTTAAAGTCTACTTGTTAACAAGTTTGAGAATTGTGGAGCGTAATGTGATAGTCACTGTTCCGTGCAGTGGCTCGCTGCGGCATGTTCCTCCTGTCTGAAACTTCATACCCTTTCATCAGCATCATCCCTTTCCCATCCACCCGCGGAGCTTCACCGCCCAGCAGCTTCTGGTACCTGTCATTCCACTGTGTACCTGTATGAGCTCAACTTTGTTAGATTCTCCAGATGAGTCAGACCATGCAGTCTCTTTCTGTGCTTGGTTTATTGCACTCAGCATTACGTCCTCCAGAATCAAACATGTTGTCATATGACAGAATGCCCCAATCTTCAAAGCTGAATAGTATTCCATTGTGTATATGGGCCACATTCTCTTTATCCATTTATCTGCAGATGGGATTTCTATGTTCATATTACCTTAGCTGTGACTAGTGCTGAAGTGACCATGGGAATGCAGGTCACTACATTTATTTATTATTTTATTTATTTATTATTTTATTTATTTTTATTGGAAAGGCAGATATACAGAGAGGAGGAGAGACAGAAAGGAAGATCTTCCATCTGATTCATTTCCCAAGCAGCCGCAACAGCCAGAGCTGAGCTGATCCAAAACCAGGAGCCAGGAGCCTCCTCCAGGTCTCCTGTGTGGGTGCAGAGTCCCAAAGCTTTGGGCCGTCCTGGACTGCTTTCCCAGGCCACAGGCAGGAAGATGGATGTAAACTGGGGCTGCTGGGATTAGAACCAGCACCCAGGCGAGGACTTTAACTGCTACGCTATGAGGCCGGACCCCAGGTGCCTCTTTAGCAAGCTGATTTCACTTTCTTTGTGTATAACACACAAGTGGAATTACTGGATCACACAGTGAGTCTGTTTCACTGTCTGTGAGATCTTGTAAGTGTCTTCCATAAGAGCTGTATTAATTTATGCTCCCCACATAATGGCACACTAGGATTCCTTTTTCTCTACACCCACTCCAGTGTGTGTTATCTTTTGTCTTTTTGGTATTAGCCGTTGAAATTCATCTCATTGTGATTTGCATTTCCCTGGTTGTTGGTAATGAAGAGTGTCTTGCATCTGTTGGCCATTGGTGTGTCTTTTTTTTTTTTTTTAAAGATTTACTTAATTTATATTGGAAAGTCATATTTACAGAGAGAAGGAGATACAGAGAGAAAGATCTTTGTCCGCTAATTCACTCCCCAAGTGGCTGCAACAGCCAGAGTTGAGCTGATCTGAAGCCAGCAGCCCGGAGCCTCTTACGGGTCTCCCATGTGGGTCCCAACTGCTTTTCCAGACCACAAGCAAGGAACTGGATGGGAAGTGGGACAGCTGGGGTTAAAACTGGTTCCCAGATGGGATCCCAGTGCAAGCAAGGCGAGGACTCTAGCCGCTAGGTTACTGTACTTGGCACAAGGTATGTCATCTTTTGAGAAATGTCTCTTTGGGTCCTCTGCTGGGCCTTCATTCAGTTCTTCTGTAAAGCAGAATTTGGAGTACTGTAGAGCTGTGGGGGTGACATGGATGATGGTCTGTCTGTGAGCTACTTGTGAGTGACTGGAAAAACAACTTTATGACCTTTCTTAGACATGAATCAAAAACCACACACTAAAGGGTGATGTTGAGGGTTGCATCTTTGTGTATGAGCCCAAGACCCCAGTGACTTTGTTCTTTGTGGTTACTATACACAGCTACTTTCATGAAATGGTAGAAATGCGTGTTAAGATGATTCTGTGGGGCCTGGCACTGTGGCCTAGCGGCTAAAGTCCTCACCTTGAATGCGCTGGGATCCCATATGGTCGCTGGTTCTAATCCTGGTGGCCCCACTTTCCATCCAGCTCCCTGCTTGTGGCCTGGGAAAACAGTCAAGGACAGCCCAAAGCCTTTGGACCCTGCACCTATGTGAGAGACCAGGAAAAGCTCCTGGCTCCTGGTTTTGGATCGGTGCAGTGCTGGCCATTGCAGTTACTTGGGGAGTGAATCATCGGGTGGAAGATCTTCCTCTCTGTATATCAGACATTGCAATAAAAATTAAATAAATCTTAAAAAAAAAAGGATGATTCTGTGAAGCAGGCCCTGATTGCTGTGGCCATGACAGACCCTGTAAGAGTCTGCAGAGGGAGGCAAAGCTTTTCTCCATGTTCTGAGGAAGCAGTGTGCCTTGGTAACTTTTAGGACATTTGCTGTCCATGCCTTTTGGGGTGTCTTTTCTAGCTCTTAACCCCCCTGTGTTTCTCTTCTTTTTTCAGCCCAATAGGGGCACAAAACGTCCCCGGGATGACGAAGAAGAGGAGCTGAAAACCCGTCGGAAACAAGCGGGTCCTCGAGAGCGGGGCCGCTTCCGGGAAGAGGAGCTGACGGTGGCGGAAGAGGCCGATGACGACAAGAAGCGGCTGCTGCAGATTATTGACAGAGATGGGGAGGAGGAGGAGGAAGAGGTAACAGGCAGAGTGGGCGGGCGCTGCTGGGGCTCCCCCAACCGTGTTTTCGTGCAGGGTCACTTGGGGCCACAAACTTGCCACCTCCCTCTGTAAAATGGGGGCTCTGAATTCTCTTCCCATGGCATCTCTGTGAAGGTCACATGGGACGCTCTGCTTACAGCGTGTATGCGTCTCCTTATTTCAAGTCTCAGTGTAGGTGCTGCCTTTCCCAGGAAGTCTCGGCTGTCTCCAAGGTACCCTGGCAAGCCATCCTGTCACCTTGTGTTCCGCATTGTCCTAGCAGTGCATGTCACAGCTGGGAAGCCTTGTTTGTTTATTTCACTTAGGCATTGCCCTTTCTCTCCCCCCAATGTCTCTTGAGGCTGGGGATGGCCCCATAGGTCTGCAACTCTAGGCACCACACTCACATTCAGCGCAATGTCTGGCTCTGAGTCAGTACTTAATAAATATTTATTGAATGCACACATGGATGAAGCTGAGGAGAATGGAGGCGAAATAACAGTGATTAAAAACAAAACAACCTACCTTTGTGTCTTTTCAAGTCCTGAAGCATCAGCCTGTGTGTGATTTTGCTGTGGCATTTTGTTCAAGATTAATTATGGGAATAGATTCTTAAGAGCCAGCTCTTTTTCTGGTTCCCTCAAAGACACGATGCTAAGTTTGGATTCCACAGGCAAGGCTGGAGTGCAAATCTGAGGTGAGACTAACATGGCCCTGTGAGCCACGAAGGCTTTGCTGCATTGTGGCAGCAGCTCCTTCTGCGTTAGGATTTGTACCAGCGCTCGCTTGGGGCCTGCCCCTATATGAGGATGACACTTTGGAAATCCACTGCAGGGGATGAGTCCAAATTTTTTCTTGGAGGGCAGTAGCCTTGACAGGATGGAGACAAACCATGTACAGCGCAAGGTTCCCTGCCCCTCCTCCCCGGCTTCAGCTCCGTCTGTTAACTGTTAATTGGCAGGTGTAATTCCTGTCATATTGCAAGTCTGGTGCTGCCGGATTGCAGTGGCCATTGGTAAGTGGTAGCTTGCCTGGGAGACAGAAACAAAACATGGGACCAACCCCGCAGTTGAGGGACAGAGAAAAAGAGATTGCTTTGCCTGGATGACACACAGAAGGCCACAAGGCCACGAGTTATTTTAGCTTGCTGCCACCAAAGTCCCGTCTGATGAAAAACAAGTGTTGTTTGCCCCCATGGAGTCACGTGTGCTTGTAAAATATTATTGTCCTTTTTGTGCTGCCTCCCCAGCATCCATCTTTCTGAAATCTCCCTCTGTTTTCTGACATTGAACTATTGGAGCGAATGCAGTGGCCGATGACTAAGACTGATAATTCAGTTACACCTCCCCCCCAAGTGCAAGAAGGAAATGAAGGGGGGGCCAGCCAAACCCTGACAGGCTGAGACAGGCTAGTGCAGAAGCGCTAAGAAGGTGAGTGAACTATTAGCCAAGGGAAAGAAAAGCAGTGGCCTTGAAGTTGCTTGAAAGGGATCTAACCTTTTCCTGGAAATGTTGGGTAGTTTTGGTTAAATGCTGGTGGTATGTTTAGTGTTACTTGGAGCAGTGTACCTTAACATCGTTTACCAAACAGCTATGCTTATTTATTTTATTTGAAAAGCATATTTACAGAGAAGGAAAGACAGAGATTTTCTGTCCACTGCTTTACTCCCCAAATGGCTGCAATGGCCAAGGTTGGGCCAGTCCAAAATCAGTAGCGTGGTGCTTCTTCTGGGTCTTCCATGAGGGTGCAAGGGCCCAAACACTTGGGCCGTCCTCTCCTGCTTTCCCAAGCCATTGGTACAGAACTAGATCTTAGGTGGAGCTGTCAGAACTGGAATCCATGCTCACATGGGATGTTGGTGCCACAGGCAGAAGCCTAGCCTATTAATCCACTGTGCCAGCCACACAATGCAATTTTATATATGACCTTTCTTTAGGTATCTCTGTGACCTTGAAAGATACCTGTAGGATTTTTTTTCCACCTCTCCCTCCTCCCCTTCAACAGTTCTTCACTGGGTGTCTTCTGTGTGCCAGGTGCTAGAGAATTAGAGTGAACAGGTGAACACTGGACCAACAACACAAGGTCATTTGCTCTGGCTTGGCACTGGAGAGATGGCATAGGTCAGATCTTACCAAGGCCTTTCCTTGTATAGGGCAGGTGAAGGATGTGTTGGCTCCTACTCAAAGAGCCGAATGGATGAATTGAGGAAAGACTTCATGAGGTGAATGTGGTGAGGGTTTGAAGAATATATTCGGCAAGGTAACACTGCCAAGTAGCTAAATGGTGGTAGTGCTGGGGGCCTGGACCCCCCAAGTTAGAACCCTAACTTAAGTTTTTACCTCATCAGGGGCTAGAGATGTGATAGAGCCCCTCAGGGTCCGGGAGTCGTTGGCATGATGCAAGAAGTATGTCGTACTCCAAATGAATTTTTAAGTATTTTTCACTTAGAGCCCAATAAATGAAAATTGAAATTTAGTAAGAATAACAACCAACATGTGTTGGTGTTTTGAGAATGGTGGGATGGTTCTATGCTTTCTGAAGGATCTGGTTCAGGTTTCCTGTCCAGAGTAGAAACAAAGTTTTGAGGACTGAGTTGTGGTTGGTGACTGCTGAGCCGTGAAGCTGAGAGTGGATAGAGTGCCACAGAGAGGGGTGTCCATCCACTTCCTGAGAGGGGCCACAGCAGAGAGATGGGAATGTAAGAGCCAGGACAAAGATCGCAGTGCCAGTGACTGGGAGATTCCTCATGGACTGACATTGCTGCCTTTGTGTCTTTGTACCAGGAGGAACCACTGGATGAAAGCTCAGTGAAGAAAATGATCCTCACATTTGAAAAGAGATCATACAAAAACCAGGAGTTGCGCATCAAGTTTCCAGACAACCCAGAGAAGTAAGGATCTGTTTTGTTGATACCCTTCTTCCCTCTGCGAAGTTTTGTTTGCTAATTTTGTTCTGTTCACTTTGGTTTCTGTGATCTAGGTTGGGTGTCCCAAGATGACATGGGTGTCCTGGGAAACCACTAGAAGGACCTGCAGGCCTCAAGTCAGTGGTGCTCAGGACATGGTGGGATCAGCAAGGGGGAATGGCAGAGTGGGAGCAGTGACTGGGGAGGTGTGTGTGGAAGCTCCCTGTGTGTGCTCCCACACCTCAGGAAGGGTGCAACAGCCATGCTGCCTGCTGCAGCCCCGAAGGGCATCCATATATGTGCGCAGTGTTTGGTCCATGGAAGCCCGGGTGAGACCCTGAGTGCAGAAGTGTTCCTGAGGACTGTTAGTGCAGTCATTCCGTGCCAGCCACAGCTAGCAGCCTTCCACAGTCCCAGAGGAAAGACAGCCATGCACTGCCGGGGCTGGCAAAACAACTCATCACTTAGGACACTTAAAAAGCCAAGCTCCCAGCTGCCAGCCTTGCAAGGCTTGTTCCTGTAGTTTCCTTTTCAATGCCCTGAGGAGACAGAGCTTGCCAACCATTCATGACAATCTGATTGCTGAGAAAACATCCAGCGTTCTGGGGTTGGAGAAATAGGCACGAGACTCCCTTATGATTTGAGTGGTGTCAGCTCTCTCATCTGTTTAAGGAAGTAGTATCTCCATCACCCTGTTGTGAATACTAAATGGAAACGATGGCAGGCTCAGTACTGGCACATAGTAGGTGCTCAGAAATGATGGTGAGGTGCTGGTGCAATGGCAGCTCAGTGCATTTGAGTGTGTGCCATTCAGTAGCTCTTGAATCCTAACTGAAGGAATTTATCTGTTTACACAGATGTCAATGTTATGACTCTCTCTTTCTGTCCTTGTATTACTCCCTTGCTGGACATACAGATGTAATGAATCTTAATTTGTCCAAGATTCTTAGGAAGTTAAGGGCTGATGGTACAGTCTTTGCAGTTGAATTTTTTTACCAGCAATCATAATGGGCGTGATCGGTTTTTAACCTCTTGGCCATTTGGCTGTTTGTCCTGCTCAGCCTTTAGGGGGTGAACTGTATCTTTCTTGTCTCCGAGTCGCTGTCTGTGCTCAGTGAGCATGAAAGCTCTGACACTGTCCACATCATCCCATCTCATGGCAAGCAGAGATACCGTGTGAGGAAGACATGTGGCGGGGCTGGTAATGCTGGGATTGTAAGAAACCCAGTGTATGTCTTCTTCTGCTTCTTTTTCTTTCTAAGATTTATTTATTTTTATTGGAAAGTCAGATTTACAGATTGAAGGACAGATTTACAGATTGAAGGATCCACTGGTTCACCAACCCCCTGCCCCAAACTGGCCACAATGGCCAGATCTAAGCTAATCAGAAGCCAGGAGCCTCCTGAGGGTCTCACACAGGTGCAGGGTCCCAAGGCTTTGGGCCATTCTTGACTGCTTTCCCAGGCCACAGCAGGGAGCTAGATGGAAAGTGGAGCAGCTGTGACACAAACTGGCACCCATATGGGATCCTGGCGTATGCAAGGCAAGGATTTGAGCCACTAGGCTACTGTACCAGGGCCCACCCAGTGTACTTCTTGGGATACCAGTGTGGCCTTTACCACATGGTAGAAATACTTCTGGCATTTTAAAGCAGTGGGTTTCTGAGGGTTACCTACATTGTGAAGACTTTGGGCACACAGATGCACCTGTGTTACAGTTGTGAACTAGTTTGAAGAAAGTGTTACTTTTTTTTTTTTAATCCTTGATGTTTTCCATCTCATCAAAATTTATATGCCATTTTTTAGGTTTTAAACACGAGCATGAGAACTTTGAAATGAGACAGAAAGCAGTTAGGCAGGTGTGTTGTGTTTTAACCTTGAGTTCTTGAATTCTTATTGGCGCATTGTCTTTCATAATCCTCTAGACCAGCGAGGTGCAATTAAGATGAAAACTGCTGGAGCATATTTGCATGAAATATTCCGGTTGAGATCAGAAGCCTTCACATTTATTTTCCCGTATCTGCTATTGTCATTTTGATCGCATACCTCTCAATGCCTCTCTCTTCATTTGGCTGCATTTCAGACTCAATTGACAATTCTCCTCATGCAGCCTTTGCTGTGCACTGCGTGGCCTTTCTCCCCAGCATCACGTTGAGGAGAGTACGCAGTCTCCCTAGTGAGGAATGGGATAACACTTTGTATTTCTGCAGGGGCAGAATTCTTTAGTGATTCTCAAGTTTTTTCGGTCTCTAGGTCCCTTCACACTCTTAAATTATTGAGTACCCCAAATTGCTTTTCTTAGAAAAATTCTAGAAAACAAGAACATCCATTCAAGGAGCAGGCATTTTGGTCTAGCAGTTGAAAGATGCCACTTGGGATGCCACAGTCCTGTGTCAGAGACCAGGCTTCCTGTGCAAACTCCACTCCTGATTCCAGCTCCTTGCTCTTGCAGACCCTGGGAGGCAGCTGGCGATGGCTTGAGTAGTTGGGTGCCTGCCACCTACAATGAGAGAGTTGGATTGAACTTCTGACTGGGCTATTTCTGGCTGTTGCAGGCACTGGGAGAGTGATCCAGTAGATGGACAGCTCTTTCTCTCATTCCCTACCTTTCTTCTTCCCTCCTCTTCTCCATCTCTGATCTTAAACAAATGGGGTGAGCACTGTGTCCTACCTAGTGAGCTAAGCTGTCACTTGCAATTCCAGCATCCTGTACCAGTGCATCGATTTGAGTCTTGGTTGCTCTGCTTCTGGTCTTGCTTCCTGCTAATGAGTCTAGGAAGCCAGCAGAAAATAGCCCAACTACACATGGATGCCTGCCACACAGGGCAGGGAGTCATTTGGAGTTCAGGCTTCTCCCAGATTTGACCATCTCAGTTGTTTGGGGAGTGAATTAACTGATGATAGAAAATCCTTTTGTCTTTCTGTCTCTCTCTTGCTGTACTTTGCAAATAAATAAATCTTTAAACAAATAAATGTTTTACATTAATAAGAATTCAGAAGTACACATTCATTTGCCATCAGAGTACAAATATTGCCCCATGTCTGAGAGTTTCTGTAAAATAGTTTTGATCTTAGACACCTGTGAAAAAGTCTCTGCCCCCTTACACTATCCCCAGGACCACATCCCAAGAACCGTGAGGATGTGTCATGTCCCTCAGCACTGATTGCTGATTTGGAGATTACATTTAAAACCCATTGGTTTGTGTCGCCTTCCCAGTGTTGTTGAACTTTGCCGGTCTCTTGCTAGTATTTCCTAATATTCAGATCACCCTGCTTGTCTGAAGGAAAATACAAAGGCAGGCTGGGAGGATATACTTTAGTCACATCAGGGTAATCGATGACCCCTTCTTGGCCTGAGTTACTCTTTTAATATGTTGCTCTACTGCTTTTCGGTCACTGTGACCCTTGCTCTGAGCCCTCTTGTGCTGAGGTGTGACAGATGCCTGGAGACAGCCCCTCTGCCAGCCGTGGTGTGCGCTTTCAATAAGTAGGCAGCACTTGGTCAGCAGAAACGGAAGAAAACTCCTCTTAGTTGTGTACCTACTTTTAAGTATACGTTTTCTCTTTTAGTCCTCATTATTATAGCTTGTTTGGGAAAATAATGAAATCAAGGTTTAGAGATCATTTAGTATTCTGTGTTCCTGTATTCCAGTGGCATGTCTCTTCGGCTGTCCTGGGTGTCCCTGCATTGAGTTGTGTGCTGTAGCTTGTTTGTATTTGTGCTTGGCTAGTTGCCGCATGCGGCCAAAAATGGGGATTATTCGGTTACCTGTTACATCCTTAGCACTTGCAGGAACACTGAGGAGGTGCCCAATAAGAGCTTGTTGTCATGCTGTCCATGGTCACACAGCCAGGGACGGTGTGACTGAGGGTATGGCTCAGTCCATTCAGGTCCATGTCTTTCCTAAGATGTCTTGTTCATCATGTGTCCCTGGACCTGGTAATATTTCTCTGGCATTTGTCTGTGGGCAGCTTGACTTTCTACTTGTTTATTTTGTTCTGATAATTTTCTATTTGGACTAAGGCCACATATTTGGAAGAACCTCAAATTTGGAATTGAGAGAGACAATGCGTTGTTCACTCTAATTTTTATGTTTTTTTTTTTAAGATTTATTATTTTTATTGGAAAGTCAGATTAATAGAAAGAAAAACAGAGAGACAGATCTTCATTACGCTGGTTCATCCCTCAAGTGGTCACAGCAGCTGGAGTTAAGCTGAAGCCAGGAGCCAGGAAGTTCTTCCAGGTCTCACATTTGGATGCAGCGTCCCAAGGCTTTCGGCCATCCTCCACTGCTTTCTCAGGTCACAGGCAGGGAGTCGAGTGGGAGGACGGGGCAGCCAGAATTAGAACCAGCACCCATATGGGATCCTGGCATACACAAGGCGAGAACTTTAGCCACTAGGCTACTGTGCCAGGCCTGTTTTTGTTTTGTTTTGTTTTCCTTGTAGTCATGCTTTATCAGTTACCCTCCAACTTTCCAAAGGAACTTATTCTTTTATTTGGCAGTTCTAACTCTTGAAGATTTCAATTCAGAATGGGGAAGAACATTAGCAAATTCACATTTGAGGGAATATATAGAGTTTTTATAACCTGGACTGTTTCCCTGAGTAGTGTTCATGTCTCTAGTAAAGGATGGCTCTTCTAACAGATGTCACAAGTTTTAAGTTCATCTGGTCAGCACAGTCACTGTGTTGTCTTCCTGTAAGCAGCCAAAAGCCGCAGTCACATTTTGTGGCAGCTCCTTTCCTCTGCCCCTTCATTTGGCAGGCCTCTGCTGAGTGTCTGTGGTGGACCAGGGCATGTGCCAGGGGCAGGGGGTCTAGAGATGAATGAGAACAATCTTGAGATTCTGATTGGTATTGCCGTGCCGGCGACTAAACCCTCCCGGTCCCTCATATGCACGTGCTCTTAGGAAAGTCTGTCTTTCCAGCCCCATGCATTTGTACTTGACTTTCTGGTTCAGTGCAGTTTTCCGTGTAGATGCCAGTTAATTTTCTTCCAGTTAGAGTTGGCACATTATTATTGCCTGGAGCTCCTGAATTGATTCCATCAGCTGCTATGTTTGGTGTCTCTTTAAGCTTTGCATTATGTGACATTTGCTAAGTTTTCCTTTTGCATATCTTCACCCAAGACATTGATCAAAGAAATAAATAAAAATAAGAGCAAAATAGTTTATCTACACTGGCGTGAGCCCAGGGCCTTGCAGGATGTCGTCGGCGCTCTCTAAGCTGACTCTCATTCACTGATTATCACCAAATCCCCACATCTTGTCCTTGCACTCAATGTGATTTTGTTTAGTACAGTCTAGTGCCCCTCTCTTTTGCCAGTGCTTCTAAGTGAACTGTAAAAATCTTCTCTCGGGTTACTCTCCAGAAATCCAGTTGTTTATATATATAAAAAAAAGTGCACGTGGAGCTTTGCTGATTATCGAGTGCAGATATGATGTGGATCAGCGGTATCACGGAACATGCGACTCTGTCCACGCCAGCCCTGCTGTGTCACGATGCCGATTTACCTTCCGCACATTAGGAGATGGGGCATTTGGACTCTTCCCGAGCAATATCTTTGCAACCACAGAGGAAGGAAAGCACAGTGAAGAGTCTTGCTAAAAATAATGATATTTACTTTGAGTAATAGTAAGCGCCAAGGACTAGGAAAAGCAGAGTAACAACGGGGTGTTCTGTGTTAGCACACCCAAAACCTTGTACACAGCTGTAACAACACGGAAATATTGTCTTGGCTCAGGAGTTTGTGGACCCATTCAAATTTAATTTTTCAATAAAATGGAGTGAAAAGCCCAGAAATAGATTAAGTTACACATTAATATTTAGTGTGTGACCAGGTGACATTTTTCAAACTTGTACGGAAAGGATGGGTTATGATATTGGAGCAACCATTTGCAAAGCAGTAAGTTAGATCTTTGCCCTATATCATATGCTAAAATAAGCTTCAGATCCATTAAACATTTAAATATTAAGACATTTGAAAACATAAATAAACCTGGAAATACATTTGACCTTAGTATAGAAAAGACTTTACTCTGGATACATGTGAAGTGGAGTTCATAAAGGCAAAAATTTGACTACTTGCAAAGCACAATGTACACATTAAGGAGTGAATGCTTTTGTCTGGTTTTATTTGTTCTGCAACAGATTTTCTTAATATAGAGAACATTAATAAATAAGAACCCTGATTTTAAAAAAAGTGGACAGAGGCTGCTACAAGTAGTAAACATTGAAACAATTTTAACTATCAAAAATAATGGTCTGTCAATGTGGTGCAGTGGATTCAGTCACTACTTGCCATGCCACCATCTTATATTGGAGCACCAGTTCCAAGTCCTGGCTGCTCCACTTCCAATCCACGGCCTGCTGACTCTTGGGAAAGCAGCAGAGGATGGCCCAAGCAGTGGATCCCTGCTACCTGTGTGCAAGACCAGGATGAAGTTTCAAAGCTGCTGGCTTCAACCTGGCCCAAACCTGACCATTCGGGAAATGAATCAGTGGATAGAAAATGTACCTATCTGTCAGTCTCTAAACATAGATAAAATCTCCCCCTCCCTTTCTCCTTCCCTTCCTCCCTTTGTCTCTTTTTCTTTGTCACTCTACCTTTTAAAAATTGTTTTCAAAGATTTATTTGAAAGTTTTAATTCCCATCTGGATTGGAATTGGAGATTTAAAAAAGTTAGCACTGTGGGGTGGGTGGGAAACTGGGGGTGGCTTCTCCCTCAATGTCCCCCTTTACCTCGGATACAGGAGGGAAACCATGTGCAAACAATGGTGTTGCCCACTTCCCTGTAGCCCTTGAACCTTTTTACCCCGGTTGACTAGGTAAAGATTGTCAAAATATAATAATAATAATAATATAATATATATATATATATATATACAAAGTTAGCTCTGTGAAGAGGCTAAGGGAAGCCATTACACTGGAGTGACTTTTCTGGCAGAATATACAACTTTGACTTGGCACTTGCCTCCCTGGGAATGTATCCCTAAGGCATAATTATGAATGCATGCATCTAAGTGTCATTTGTCATAGGAGAAAGATTAGGGACCATCTGAATATCTGACAACAGAATGTTTAAGTAAATTAGAATACAGCTACACAATGGAAATCTATGTGGATCTTTATAATGTGTGATTTCAGACAGGAGGTTCTGAGAAATGAAAGCTCCTTTGCATGCCCTGTGATCGAACGGTGGTTTCTGAAACGCTGCTGAGCAGGATTCAGAAGCTGTGTCTGGGCGCAGCAGGGAGGAGTGCCATGGTCAGGAAGCAGAGACTGACTGCACTGTGCTCGGTGGTGGCTTCCTGTCATGGAAGAATGTTTCATGAGGCAAGAGATTGTTTGGTCTGTGTTAATGATGAGCATAGGACTGCATGCTACATAGGCTTAACTTTTGCAGGGTAGTGGGAGGAGGAAGGCCAAGTATCGAGCAGTTCGACTTAACCATTTGTAATGAATAGAATTTCTGTTTACTTTTTTGAGGGCTTATTTCCCTTTTCTCCCCCCACCCCAGGTTGCTACAAAATATTTTATAATCAGAGAAGAAAAATAGGTCTATGTAACTGAACGTAGGAATGCAGAACATCAGAAGTCAGGGATATTGTCTAAAAATAGGCAAGTTTTAAAGAATTACAGTGCCTGGATTGTGTTCTTCAGAAAGGCCCAGATTTCTGGAGTGGTGGCAACTGTGGGGCCTTAGCCTCTTAGCTAACGATGCTGTGTGATTTCCATAGTGTCTGCTTAGGCTGCATTCATTTGTGTTCCCAGTTAAGAACGTGTCTGCGTATATGAGACCCAAGATGTAGTTCCTGTCTGTGGGGTTACGTTCCAGAAGAGAAGTTAGTGACAGCGGTAGCGTAGTGTTCAAGCAGTGAGATCAGAGACTCATGTGACGCTTTTACTGTGTTGGATACTGTTCTGGCTAGGCTTTATGTTTTTCCTCATTGAATCTTCCCAGTATCCCTGTGAGACAGGTGACATTATCATCCCCATTTATCGATGAAGAGGCTGAGCATAGAGAGGTTGAAATGGCTAGGTGGGTTCCAACTCAGGCAGTCTGGCCTTTTTTGGGTAAGGGGAATGATGGGGCATTGATCTCACATGTGAAGGGAGACCCTCTTTGGATTAGCAGGAGAGCTGTGGTCAGGGCAGCTGAGTGAATTGCCACACGGAGGGGTCAGGGTACCTAATCCCTAGATCAGTTAACGCCACAGCGACGCGTTGGGAGCCTCTAAAAGGCAGCTTATGACTGCAAGAGTGAGGGGAACTCTGTAATGAGATCTGAATCCAAGATTGATTTTTGTAATGAGGAAATCGATTTCCCGAGGAAATGGTGTGACAGTATGCTGTTTGGATGAGTATACTTCTTGGTTGGTCTGGCGTGGATGCTTTGACAGATTTTCTCTGTTGCTGTTTGCTTCCCTGTGCTGATCCAGCCCCCCTCTGCTTTTTTTGTTTGTTTGTTTGTTTTTTTCTTTCTAGGTTCATGGAATCTGAGCTGGACCTAAATGACATCATTCAGGAGATGCACGTGGTAGCCACCATGCCAGACCTGTACCACCTTCTTGTGGAGCTGAACGCCGTGCAGTCGCTGCTCGGGCTGCTGGGACACGATAATACAGATATCCTTTCCGATCTGTCTGCTGCAGCAGGAAGGCTGACGTGCTGGGGAGGTGCTGTTTACTCTCCGCTCCTGTCTGCCTCTGCTGATGTGTGCTGTCACGTCTGCTGTTCTATTTCCATTCTAATTATCTCCCATCTTGAAATGCACTCTGCTCTTTACTCATTCGAAAATCAGGTTTTTATCTTTTAACAGATCTTGGGCAATCCTTAATTGTCCTATTTGCTCTTAACAGTACTTGAATTCATCTTGATGTTTCTGTTCATATGTTAGCAGCATTAATTTTCGGACTCTGGCTTTGGAGGCCTTTATATAGAGGTAAGGGCAGGCAGATTGGAATCTGTTGATCTAGACATCATTCTGCTAACAGATGGCCTGGTGGAGGTGAGACCGGGGGAGGCAGCGAACCACTGTAGACAGCACCTTGGGATGTCTAGGAGGACATGGAGTTTACTTTAGCCAGTTCCTTACCAAAGACTGGTGTGCAATAAGCAGCATTTAGTATTTGTTGAATGATCGGTCATTGGACCTGAACAGGTGATCCAGGTTTGACCTCTAGCTTGGGGTGCTCCTCCCTCCCTTGGAGTTCCCACCTGCAAAAGTGCAGTTAGTGACTTCAGCTTCTCCATCCTGTCGAGAAAATCAGAGGAGTCATGTGAGTGCCAGGTGCAGACCCTGATGCCTGATAGGCACTTAGCAGATGCCCCTGGTAACTCTGGATCATGACTTCCCCAAACCATTTTCTGCATTGTCTCCCTTTTTATGCGTGCAGTCGCCTTCCTGTAAAAGGGTTCTGTGCCTGCGGACAGGGTTATGTGCATTAAACCAGATTCCTTTCCCATGGTTGTTCTGTTGGAATCCTGCTCTCCGAAGGTAAGAGACAAACGTCGTCAGTCTGCCTGAGTGATATTCATGGGGACTCTGCTGCTGTTTCCTGTTATTTTCATCTTTCTGGTAATCTCTCCTGAGAGCATGTCTGACTAGGTTCTTCCTGCCTGATAATTCTCCTAGAAATAAATCAGGGAATAATTCTAATACAGCCCTCTTGAAGGGCAATCTGAAGACATTTCCGATGCTTCGTGGAACATTAGATGGAATTAAGAATCGCTCTGTCAGGCTGCAGACTGATGACTGACCATGTTTGCCAGGGTTTGCTGTGGAGTTCTGGGCTGCGTGAGAACCTTCATCAGTTAGCTCACTTCTGAGTGAGCTGCGCCCCAGACCCCGGGGTTCGTTCAGCAGGCATACTGTGGGTGTTTCTGATACTTCAGGCATGGTGGGGCTTGGTCCAGAAGAACCAACCACAAACTGACCTGGAAGCCCAGGCAGTGTGAGGGAGTAACCATCAAGTGATTAGGCAGTCTAGGCTGCTGTAACAAGATTACGTGGCAGGTGGCTGATCAGCAACTGATACTTCATATTGTCCAGTTTCAAGACCCTGGGAATTTCTGCACCTGGTGAGGGACTGGGTCTTGGTTTAGAGTTGGCCGTTTCTTCTTGTGTCCTCAGATGATGAGGGGAGGGAAAGAGCAAGCTTGGTCTGTTTTCTAAGGCTACTGATGCTCCCCAGGGGACTTTACCTTCTCGGAAAGCCTGACTTCGAAATGCCTTTATACTGGGGCTCTGATTCACCACTGGAAGCTGGGGGCTGGGTGGAAAGGTTCTCTCTAGCAGGGATTTACCATCAGACTATTCCCATTCAGGGTTTTAAGTGACCGTCACAGATCGAGTGAGTTGGAGTTCTCCCCGTAACTTCACATTTCCATTGTTCACCAATAGAAGAGTAAATTTCAAAATCCACTATGATGCTAGTGATGACTTAGCCTAGTATCTTATCTGCTTAGTGGCAAGTCTGAGAGCAGATGGGGGAGAGCGAAATGTCGTGGTTGCTGCTGGTACTCCAGGTCCTTTGTTCTTTGGTACTTCTTAAATCTCTGGAATTCCACTGCATCCCCGACAGAGCTGCAGAGCCATGGTCACCCGGTAGGCCGCATAGTAATACAACAGTTACCTATTTTGTTTCTGGAAACACCCGTCCTGCTATTTCTTTTCTTTTTTCTTTTTTTTAACTCAAAATAGTAGCTCTCCCTCAAGACACCGACATTTTGCAGATTTCACCAGGCTGGCTCCTACTGGGGAGAAGACTGACACAAGAAAACACAATTCAACACAGGCGTGCTTGGGGCAGGCAAGGGCACAGATGTTGCGAGTTGTAAAGTTCTGGTCCTTAACAGAAGAAAACAAGTGCTCCCCGTAATACATTTGACAGATGGCCGCTTCCCTCCTGTTTTCCCCGAATGGAAAGGTTTTCCTCCCTCCCCGCAAGTTGTGTGCCAACCTTCACCCTGCTGCCCTGATGATATTTTTTAACATCTGATTTTTTTATTATGCCCTGCATCATGTTCAAAGCAAATTTTTAAATTTTTCTTAATTACCATAATTTTAATTAGGGTAAATGTCCTGTTCCGCAAAATGCAGTTTTGCTTGAGAAGTGACTCTCGGCGAGGGCACTTGCACCTGACCTAGCCTCTCTCAGATGCAACCTTGATCTTCTTGCCATGCTGAACTGTGCTTCATGTCTTACCTGTGATCTATAATGGAAATATTTCTTCAGGAAACGGTTGTTAGCAATTTACTGTTGTACAGCTGTAACTGTCCAGAACACCTTACCATGAATAAACAATTTCACGGCCGTCTTGTCTTAAATTTTTCATCTTTTTTTTTGTTGTTTTGTTTTAACTCTTCATTTATCACCCAAGACCATACATGGCTGGTTATGTGCCCAGCAAGCACAGGTCATCTTTGTTTTGTCCTTTTCTGAGAAAACATAAACTAAGGTGGCAGGGAGGGATTTTAATTGGATCACAGGCTGGTTCCTTGTAACCTTAAGAGGCAGAGGATGTGAGAAACAGCTTGTGCCTGATCCTCTCAGCCGTGAGGCGCTGCTTCTGAGTTGACGCTGGCGCTCTGCATCGCTGCCACCAGCGAGAGCTGTCAGCGCTTTGTACCCTTCCGCCCCCAGAGAGGCTGGAGTGTAGCCCCCCACCCGCCCTTGCCCGACTGACTGCTGACTGCGGGTAGAATTCTGGTCCGGGAAAGTGCACCCCTGGGGATAGGGCCTGGGAGGGTGAGGGGCCCACCCCTCACCCAACCTCACAGACTTATCTCCAAATGCATTTGGAAGGAGCATAAGGTGAAATTCACAGCTGCTGCTATTTCAAAATATGGCTCTTAAAATAATTTTCCCTCTGCATCCTTGAAATGTGTTTTGAGAACCCCTTTTTTTGTGTGTATGAACCTTTTGGAGTGTCTTTTAAAAAGTAAAAACAAAGGCACATTGAAATATACTTTCTTGAGGTGTTGTTAAAAAAAAATAATAATTTTAATATTTAAGCCAAGGAGAGAGCTGTAGCTCATCAACCTTTGTGCTACCAACAACAAAGTCACCATAGCACCAAGTTTCCTGCGTGTACGTGTGGTTTGTGTGCATTTCCCAGTGATTGGGGTCAGCTCCAGTGTGTCCCTGGCATTGACTGGTCCCTCTTGCTGGAAATGTGTTGTGCCATTTGAGAAACTGAGAAGTAATAACTGGTTGAGAAGAAGGACACTGAAACCCCTCCTTACCTTGGCAGGTGGGGTATTATGCTGAGGAAATGCCACCAGAACTCTAAGATGGGGTCACCTCTGGCTGGCATAGGTGACCTCTTGATGGGCATGAAGATTTGTTTTCATGGTCTTGACTTTGGCAATGGAAATTGCTGTTCTTCATATGCTAAAACTGTTATGGGCTTGGTGGTTATTAAAAAAAATGCTATCATGATATCAGGTTCGTGTTCATGGCTTTATTAAAAAAAAAAAAAAAAGATAATCTTGATTCTTGCTGCCCAGCTAAGTATGCTAGTCTTTAGTAATAATAGTCATCTGAACCCAATTTATTGAGTCTGCTTTCTCTCCACCCCTTTTTGATTCAGAAAAATAGGTCTCATTGTAATGTTAAGACATGGGTACAGTGGGTTGCATACTAATGTGCAAGAACGGAGAAACGTGTTAGTGACGGAGTTGATTCTCCTTGCTGCTGAAGGGGCAGCTCTTGTGTGGAGTAGTTTTAGGGAGTGGTCATGAGCACCGCTTTCTGGTGTTGGGCTATTTTCTCAGATTATGGAAAGCCGGGGGGGATTTGCAGAGTTGTCCGGTTGGATTTGGAGAAGGATCAATGTGGGAATTTGGAAAGTGAGGAGTAGACAGGATTTTTTTTAACTTGAGCAATTTGGGCTTGAGAATGCTAAAGTGGAACAAACTGAGATGTACCGTGTTATCCTAGGAAGTGTGTACAATAGTCGCTGTGTCTTGTGTTACAGACCCAGTGTTAATGAACAAGAATAGGGCTGGGAAGGTTTTGAACCTCCTCAGGGGCTTTTTCTAATTGGACTGGGAGGGAGTTGGTTACTGCTGCTCCATTGCGTTCCTTCCAGCAGTGTCTAACAAGACTTGCATATCTTAAGCTGTTATTTTGCTGGGAGCAACTCTCATCTTGATATTTCCAGAATGGAAATTACATTTATGGGACTTTACTTCTTTTTCTGATTTCTCCTATTATTTCCTTGATAGTGTATATTGATAAGCCAACTCCCTCACTACTCCCCTTTCCCCCCAATCTGTTAAATATGCTCTGGAGAAAGGCAGGTTAAGTTAAAACAAAAAATCCAAAAGAGCAGTTAGAAAAAGGACCTGTCAGTGTGGCCTGTGATTGCTTTCCTGGGTTTTAGGTGAAGTTCATGCCCCTGGGAGGGTGGGGTGCCTGTTGTCCGTTTTGGACCTTCTTCCTATGGCGTAGCATTCAGCAGGTACAAAGTCAAATGTTCAGTATCTGTATTTGCCCTTTTATGTTGGTTTGATCTAGGATTGGGATAAAATTGAAGTCCCAGTTCATTCTAAGTAGCTTTGTGCCAGCTGTTTTGAAAGGAGAAAAAGACTGTTTTGTCTATGTTTTTAAAATTCATC